TTTTATCAACAAACTTAAAGACTACTTTGACGATACTGCTAGTTCAGTTGCAGGTATAAGCGGAACGGCTATATTTGTCACGTATGCTATTGGTAAGAACACTTAATTGTTGGAGGGGGTACTAAAACAAATAGGCATAATTCAAGAAGACGAATTACAATAAAGATACATTACCAATAAGGTGGAACAAATCACGTGACAATATAATGATAATAACGGTAATAAATCCTAGCTCACAGAACGATCATATAGTCAGTGGGGTCACGTCAAGTGTCACGCACTTTGTTGCAACATTTCCTTGTGGTTGAAACTAGGTCATGGCTTGACATCATTAAACACTCACGAAATCACAATAAAACGGGGAAGGGCTTTGTCGCAGTAATTGATCCTTTCATCAGAGTTGAGAATTAATGTTTATTGTGTCATTAACTGGACTGGTGCTATTCTGCGAATACTATCGCTGGGAGCTGCTAATTTGTTCTTATAATTTGTGCAGTTGCTTTGTCAGGAGTTCCTAAATAAAACCCATGCTTTGATATTGCCCCCCGTTTTTTTTACTTCGACCGAGAAATATGTGATCATTTATAGAATGGACTTTACATCACGCATTCTTGTCATACTGCTTAGTAACATACTATCCCCCAAACAATTTTCCAATATAGATAAAAAAAAATAAAGTTTGAAACATATGTATAATTACTTCTCAGCACTGATTTATATCACTAATATGTTACAATATAACAGAATAAAATTAAGAAATTGCATTATTAAATATTCCATCAGCGACAATGATGGGTGCATTTCACGATCAGTGTTATCTGTTCACAATTTTATAAACTGGCTTGGCAATTCCCACCACCAATTAGAACAAGTTTATAGGATCTTCCGCGAATTTCGCCCAATCGTCCCAGCGGTTAGATAGAATATTTTTATTTAGGGACGCCCAGAGAACCAACATTTCGTACGTAAATTAACTCTGTTGAGGGAATAAACAAATTTGAGGGACTCAAAAAAAGAAAAAAGAACGTTTCGACGAACGTTTCAATATCCTGGTTATCTCTGGTGTGACTACAGTCTTTGAAACAACCTTGAGAAACTGTAAAAACGCAATTCATGGAACGTGACTTAAAAACGTAATGTAATGCAAGTGAATTTCCCAACAAAGATTTAAATGTTGTAGTTGTATGTGGTATGGGAAAAGGGTCGAGGAAAAATAAAGATGGCGACAATCGTCAAACGCAATGTTATGCCTATTTGATTTCCGGCTTGTTAGTTGACACAACAATGAAAGCTTGTTTCAGCGATAGCTACGTAAATTCAAACCAAAACGTTATAGGCAAGATTTCAGTGACGGCTATCAAAACGTAATTAAATGCAAATAAAGACGTGAAGATTAAGAAATTGTTCCGGGTCGTAGCGTAAAGTAGGAGATTAAACCATTGTTTACCTCTGACTGGAATGAAAATTACTTTGAGAATGTCATAATAAGCGAGGATGAAAACCATTTTTATGCAATGAAAAAAGTAACCTTGAACGTACTTTATGTACCTTAGTAACAAAGTATTTTTTTAAGTCTACCCGGATCGGAAATGAGAATGTGTTACTACTTTAAATATCCGAATATATTTTAGTATAAGGTAATACAAAACGGAAAAAAAACACTGTTTTTATGGCGAATAAGGCACATTTCTGTTTAAAATTACCCTGAATAAGCATTTTTTTTAGATTTTTAAATCTGACACGTCTGTAATTTGTGTTCAGGGATATACACCCTCTCAAGTTTTATGAGAGAGTGGAACTATTAGCTGACTTTTATTTCCGCTTTGCTAATTGTGCTAGATTGAAACCTAGTGCATATTCAAATTTAACAATATTGTTTCTTTTACAAATATCCCTGCAACTGCAAATCCGCTAAAATCTAAACCTAAGATAACAGTAAATTATTCTTATCTGAGATTAAACCCAATGAACATTTCTCATACAGTAACAATTTTAGCATAATCATATTTTCCTTTAGTTATTGTGAAAAGTCTGATTCACTTTGACCCTGTGCAGACAACCGATGAATTTGCATAGATTTGATAACTCAAATGTGTGACTTCTATTTCTGAAGTCACTGAATATAATTATTGAGATATAATATACGAAATATGTTCTCAAAATGTTAACATCATGGCATTTTACCTTTATCTGCAGGACCGATAGCTAGTGCCCTCAACAATAAAATAGGTTGTCGTCTTGTTGTATTTATTGGTGGCTTGGTCGCATCTATTGGATTAATCCTCAGCTTCCTGGCAACAACAACTATTCATCTGTATTTGACATATGGAATTATTTCAGGTAAGTTAAATGTGACCAGGACCTGCATAACTAATACAGTATACCAGTTAATTCATCTGTATTTGACATATGGAATTATTTCAAAGGTAAGTTAAAT